CCCCAAAACCCCAAAACCCCAAAACCCCATTCGTCCTAAAGCAAGTTGAAACGAAGCTTTATCAATTTTTGATAGATAAATATGGGAGTTATTGCTTTCAAGAGCTCCTTCAGACTTGTTCAGGTACCCTCAGTCTTCTAATTAACCTCCAAATATCATCCCAATTTTCTCTAAATCTGTAAGTATAAAAAATATCTCATGCATTACGATGCAAGCCAACCAAGTTCTGCTTGATGAAGAGGAGAAGTTTATCTGATATCTTGAATAAGGAGATTGATGGCTTAGCAATCGATTCCAATGCTACTCATACTTTCATAAAATAATATCTTGTTTCAAAGAAACAAAAAATCTTTTCGAATAAATCACTAAGGAACCTTTAATAATTTAAAAGATCCTCTGGACTTATGAGTCATGAAGAAATTTATAGCTTATACTTATGTAGAAAACAAACTAGCAATAATGGATTCCAGTAAATATAAGATGATTGATATCCTGCTTGACCCATACAGATATTATGCTTTACAAGGAATCAAAGATTAATGACCAGAAAAGCACTTCCTATCTCTCAATAAAAGAGACTCTCAGTACTTATTTGCTCTGTTACAAAAATAGCGAACCTGTGTATCATAAAATCCTCTTGAAATATTCTAAAAGAGGTATGAAGCTAGATACTGCTAAGGAAAAGATAGCATGGTTTCTGGAATCACAAATACTGCCAAATTAATCTGCCTTCTAAAAAACTTCTTTGGGAGTTATTCTGTTCAACAACACTTGAGTTTGATCAAGAAGATCCATTCAAAATTCTTTGTGGTAATATTGAAAGAATACAAGTAAAATCTACTTTCTATATTGGCTTCAGCATCTTATTGATCGAAGAAAATGTCAAGGTCAGTACAAAAAGGCTGATTTCTGTGTTCAAACTGGGATTTTCAGAATATTTCCTTCAATCTAAAGGAAGCATTTTATTTGGAATGTTGGAAATCCTGATATTTTACCAGGAAAATTTTTATTGGAGGCAAAGTGACATCGAATGATACAAAGTGACGTTACTTTACCTTAGAAACGAGAAATCCTGATATATTACTAAGACTGTAGATAAAAATCAGAGCCGAATGGATAAAATTGGTCAATGATAGAATTAAAAAACTATATTTACTTGCAGATTATAATTTAAACAAGCGCCTATTAAAAAGATCCCAAATATCTCAAATTTTACATAAGAACTACTCTAAAAATCCAGAATATTATTCAAAATTCGATCATTCCCAACCTTCAATTCACTAAAATCATAAAATCCCTCTCCCAAACTCCCAAAAAGTCCACCTATCACTCCTCTCAGCTACCTCTCTCATCCCCAGATCCCCACTCTTCAGTAACTCCCCTCCAGACCCCACTCAAATTTTCCCCAAAAGCCAAAGGCTATAAGCTCAAAAGTTATTCTAAAATTTCAGTAAAATCTGGAACTCTAGGGGTTTTGGGGTTTTGGGGTTTTGGGGTTTTGGGG